TTTCTTTTTTTTTTTTTTTTTTCTTTTACGGTTACACGTCGATGGCTCCGAGCTTACAAGCTTGTAATTGCGTAAATGTAATATATAAATTATATTTGTGGTATATAGTGTATATTATAATATATATAATATATAAATGTATTGTATATAATTTTATATTAATGTACTATATATAATTTTATATATATAATATTAAACATTATATGTAAATGTATAATAATATTATAATATATATAATTATTTATATATAAAAGATATTCTAATTATAAATATATATTATATATTATATATAAATAATTATATATATTATAATATTATACATTTATATATAATATAAAAAATTATATGTAAATGTGTAATAATATTATAATATATATAATTTATATATATATATATATATATATATATATTTAAATAATTATTTATATATAAAATATATAAAAATATATAAAAATATATTGTAAATATAAATATATATTATATATTATATATAAATAATTATATATATTATAATGTTATTATACATTTATATATAATTTTTTATATTATACATATAAAATTATATATAGTGCACATTAATATAAAATTATAATAAATTATACAATTATTTTTATTACTAATATAAAATTATATATAATACATAATATATAATTATTTTTATTTCTCCAACGGTGCGCAGTTCAACATTCGTTCTGTTATACGTACACGCACGCACACGTTCCTCCGGTTCTCCGGACAGCATGAAATATTAAGATAAATGTATTACGCTCGTCGAACAGCGTCCTGAAAAATAGCGTGTCACTCTTCAGAAATAAATGAATATCTTAACCTCACCGCCATCAATCTTATCGCTTATCGACCCGTTTATACGTGTACCTTAATACGTTTCAATTCCAACGTTCGGCCGAATGGATCCCCGATAGGAATTCGTCCGTCTGTAACTTTAAAATATACGCTTCGGAACACTTTGTTCCTTGTGGAATTTTGTGAAATTAGTTGCTCCTATTCGTCGCGTTGTTATCGAATGATATTTGATCGCTAAATAATATCAACGTGATGAAGATGGAGCGAGGAGCTATAACTGTATAATGATTATGATAATTTATATTTATATCACAATACTATAAATAAATAATAACTCCGTAATTAATTTTAGTTGTTTATATAAAANGATTACATAATGGAAGTTAAATGACGAAATAACGAAATAACGAATGAAGAATTTCTACTATGGCTACAATATATATAAGTGACAGTAAACATTTCTATGGTGACAATAAAATTAATAGCTATTTTTAAATATTCTATTGTTTATATTAAATACACATCTCGACGGAACTTTAGATGTCGTTGATCTAAATTCTTCGAAGTAGAGGTCGCTACAATCGAACGTATAATGATGAAAAATTGTCGATATTTCGAGCTTAGAAGAATGTCATAGTTGTTCGTGAAAGAAAATCATATAAGAATTTGTTTAAAGTTCTTCCTGCGTGTTAGAATTGGGGGGTTTAAATAATTATTTATTAGTTGATTGAATAAAGTAAGATTAGCAGATTTTTATATAAATAATTATTTATTAGTTGATTGAATAAAGTAAGATTAATAGATTAATAAATACCACGAATATTTATGTATATACCACGTTTACCGCGATAAATATCACGAATATTTATACTGCAAAAATACAATCAGAAAGGGGTGACTCTACGCACGAAAGTTTAATCTGAATTGGTGTGAATATTTTTTAATTTTCTAACTAATCAGTGCAACTCTTTGTTAAATCATATACATATAGTATACTTTCAACTAAAGTTTCATGAAATTGCAATATTGAGTTGCTCGAAAATTCTGAGATTCGCCATCCACTGTCCACATTGTCCACTAATTTACAATAATTACTACGTACAGAACAGTTTAATAAACGAACGAATACCAGTTCACAAATTTCGTCGAAGTATTCACATAGTAAACGAGCAAGCATTCATTCATCCAATCTGAACACATAAGAGTATTATCTTATATTTCAACACACCATACGTAATCATCTTAGCACTAATGACTTAGCATTAACGACTGGCAATGAACTAACAATATTAAACGAAATAATACAAAATAAAATGGAACAAAATATTAAACGAAATGACAGAAAATAAAATGGAATAAAATATTAAACAAAATGTTAAAGGAAATGACAAAAAATAAAATGGAACAAAATATTAAACGAAATGACAGAAAATAAAATGGAACAAAATATTAAACGAAATGACACAAAATAAAATGGAACAAAATATTAAACGAAATGACAAAAAATAAAATGAAACAAAATAAAATGGAACAAAATATTAAACGAAATGACAAAAAATAAAATGGAACAAAATATTACACAAAATGGCACAAAATAAAATGGAACAAATTTACAAACAAAATGACATAACAACAATATTAAACGAAATGACACAGAATGAAACAGAACAAACTATTAAAATTGACAAGAATCCCATTCTATCCAAACAGAAGCACCGACGATCCATTTTTCTCGCAACGATCCATCAAAAGACTATCTATCTAAAAAGAAATCACATTGATTAATCGTGGACAGGTGATTTCATTTAATTTACACACGCGCGCGCGCGCGCGCGCACGCGCATACTTCATAACCCTGGTCAAATACCACCCCCCATTTATTAGGCATTTCACGTCCAATAACCCGACCAAACTCCCGAAAACATTGCGCGTTATCCTTCACCATGAACAACCACAATACACCGTTGCGCCATATAAAGCGAATAATTTCGCACCCGGCCATGGGGGTTGGTAGCGCGTACGGTTTCGCGATGGCCGTTTCTGCCGCGTTATTAAACTTCCACCCTCGGCCCACGGTTTTCGACGTGATCGTTTAACACGCGCGCGCGCGCGCGCACGAGCGGGCCATTTAACTGAAATTTTACGCCACGGCGACACTCCTATCGTTTGGAGGGTCGTTACATCGCGCATAGCGTGCTCGCGGAATCGCGCTAATTGATTAATGGTCAGCAGATGGCAACGCGTAGGCAGCGTGATAATTCTCGTCTGTTCCTTGTGAAATCTCGATTTTGCCGCTCGTTCCGCAAGGAAGAGCGACGACGAAGAGTTTTGCAACTTTTTATCTTCTTCTTTCTTTCCTTCTTTTCATATTTTCATACTTTCGACGATACGTTTTCGTTCTCTGTTTTCACTATTAATTTTTAAAAGTTTTACCTTTAATATTAAATTATTGAATAATATTAAATTTAATTTTTATATTATATATAATTTTTAATATAATTTAATATAATTTATTATAAATATAATTTATATATTTTTATATTTAATAATATTTAAATTTGATATTTGATTATTAAATAATATTAAATTTAATTTTTATATTATATATAATTTTTAATATAATTTTATATAATTTAATATATATAAATTTTATGTAATTTAATATAATTTATATATTATAAATATAATTTATATATTTTTATATTTAATAATATTTAAATTTAATATTTAATTATTAAATAATATTAAATTTAATTTTTATATTATATATAATTTTTAATATAATTTATATATTTTTATATTTAATAATATTTAAATTTAATATTAAAAAATTCTACTTTTAATGATACTTTTTCTTTTTTCCTTTTTAAATGCTGTAGCGTAACGTTTCAAATTGTCGAGATTAAAATGTTGTTGAGAGGAAGAATTAGGGCCATTTATGTAATTTTTAGTGTATTTCTGGTAAAACTTTGACTTTTTTTAAATATATAGCTCTACGTGTGTTAGCTACCGCGTATTTTAAATGTACTGTCCTACTGTAAGCTTAGTTATTTATTTATTATTTATTTACTTATTCATTGTTTATTGTGAAAGAAATTAAGAAGCAAAAAAAATTCTTTTTACATGAATCTTTATCACTTCGTGCAATTCTTGAATTCTGTCAGATATGGTGTCTATGAAATTCTTAACAATTTTCAAATTTCGAGCAATATCCATCTTAAATTTCCTTGATTGATTGATTGACAACACATCTGGCAAAAATTAGTTTTATCTTTTTGTAATCGATAATTTTTAAAGTCGAGCAACACATTCCCAATTTGAAAATCGACACTAAACAAACAATTGTTAACGAGATCGTTCGTTTTCTCTTTCTGAAACGAGGTTGAACAATCAGACGTCGGATTGCACAATGAATTGGCGATTTAAAACGAGTAAATTGGTCATACTTTAAGACATACGTACGTACATACGTGTCCATCTTAAAAAAAAAATTTCTAGCAATTACTTTATTATTATTATATTAATATTAATGTAATATAATAATATATAATACATAATACTACAATTGGCCAATATTCATGCACGCTGTTAAGCATAATTCTGTATCCGTATGTTACAACGTTGCACATTATTATATGTACCGATACAGATTTCTATCCCGGAAGCTCTCTGCCCAAATTTATCGAATAAACGAGGGCAATGGGCGTATTTAACGCTCGAGCATCGATACATCGCCGAGCCTTGTTGCTACCGTCTATCCTAATTAATCGTTGGAAAACCCATTCCCATCCGGTCTCTGACGCCGGAGCAAGAAATCGCCGAAATTTCACCGTGGCAAAACACGCGCTGGTGTTCCACGGTACTTGCTAACTCGATGACCCTGGCTTTTTCTTACGATCCGTTAACCGACTGATTACTCTTGTTGCAGGAATGTTCCGAGAATGCGTTGAATTGATCGCGTTTCAAAGAATCTCGGCATTGGGAATGGACTCGATCGTGGCGCTGCTCCTTCTGACCGGTGAGTCGATCTTCCTTGAAATCGTTATATTATTAGTATTAATTTTTAATAATATTATTGATATTAATATAATATTATTATATTATTAATATAATAATTATATTAATATTATTAATATTGATATAATAACTAATAATTAACATTACTAAAAACTGATATTACTAATTAATATTATTATTATATTAATATTAATAATATAATATTATTATATTTTTAATATAATAATTATATTAATATTAACATAATAATATAATAATAATATTAATTAGTAATATCAATTTTTAGTAACGTTAATTATTAGTTCGTCATATTAATTTTATATATAAATGAATGTGTGTTCGTTCTTCTTACGAAATATGGCGTAGCATTATTTATACCACGATTTATTATATTTTTTTCGGCAATTTCTACGACTTGAAATAATACTGTCGTAAAAAAGGTAATAAATTAGTAACGATACGACACATAGAAATGAACATTAACACATTAGAACTAGCGACGATTGAAGGGTAAAATTTCTATCAGAAATATTAAAGGCAGAGAAATGAAAAAACTTTCTAATACAATGGAGCTTCATATATTAATTTTAAAAAATTATTTAAATCTCTAGACATTGTTTCATGTCTGTAAAATTATAAATTGGCCATTTCGACCGCTTTAGTGACTATTCAAATATCATTTTTCTATCTGTTATGTTATGTTGCAGATTTTTCCATTTTTATTCGTTTCTCACTGCAAAATTTGCAAAAATCAAAGACCATCTGGACACATTCTTTTTCTTTTTTCACATGTACACCGAAGCAAATATTTTTACACAATACTCTTCAATATTTTATACGATATATATACTTCAGTATGATAGATTCTTCTTTTCGAATTAAAATTAGAATTTTCCGAATTTCATCTCAGCTGCTCCAATTATTTCACGGCGTAGCATTTTTGAAATTTCTGTATTGAATTTTTCTCCCGTCGGATATTTTAGTTTCTTCGATTATTCTAGTGTACAATAACTGAGACTTTCGCGCTAGGTTTCCTTTTCCCGAATATTTTCCCCTGGCATACAATAATTGAAATTTCCTTTCCAACAGTTCCTCTTGTTAATCATTGAAATTCTTATATCAAAATTTTTCTTCTATCGAACATTTTATCCCAACTTCTCAAATCGTAATTGAACAATTTCATTTTCACATTTTTCTCACCGATTAAATACCTCTCTTGAAATTTTCATATCAGGTTTTTCTTTTACCAAATGCCCCGGCCTTTTAAATTATTCCGGCGAATAATATCATGCAATTCTGCAATATTATTCTACCTACAGCGATGAGCTGTAACTGAACACACATACAGACTTTTAATAAAATAATATTAATAATAATACATACAATAATAAAAAAATATAATAAAATGAATTAATAATATTTTACCGAGTGTTTGCATGCAGAATACCAGAAGAAGAAGAAAAAAAAAGAGAATATGCTACTTGTAGGATGTATTTCAGCTTTCCAGAAAAAGATTTCACCAACCTTGTCACCATCTGGTATTCTGACAAATGTAAATTGTTCTCGTTGAGTCACTGTCGCACCACAATTGATTTAAATGAACAATTGTCTATACTTTCGTCTGCTGTGACTTTGTTAAAAAAAAAAGAAAAAGGTCATCATAACAATCTGTCATACTTAGTTTCATTTTAGTATTAATTATTTCAGAACTGTCTGATCGAAAACTCTTTCTCACCAATAGAAATTCCTCTCCTCGAAGGGGTGACGGCGAGTGACATAGTAAAATGGCCGATTGCCAGGAAACAAATGGAAAATTCGCAAGCGTTCTCGCGTGTCCGGTGTTAGGCTTACCCTCGTTTCTGAGCCTCGCGCGACCTCTTGTCTCTCGGCCTTCTTCGTTGTCTCTCCCCTTGCTCTCCCACCAGTTTCGATAATAGCCGCCATCGAGGGAAAGGAAAGGGGTTTGTGTATCCTAGGGGACGCGTTCTCGTGCCTCTGAACTGTGTCTAGATTAATGGACAGATAGCGCTCTTATTATATGGCAGCTACGTAAGACAATGACCCCTGGCCAATCTGGCCATCTTTTTCCAAAGTCTATGGAGCAATTTGAATTCCGTTTCACTTACGGGGAGAACATGGTACGGTAGTGAGCTTGTGTTTGTTTCACTTGTCGGCTAGTTTATTGAGAAACATCGATGACAGGGTGGATAAGACGAGAGACTGGTCTGGCCTGTTGTACAATATTTTGTTATTCATACTTGTTTCGGTAGTGAAGGGTTGCATTTAGGGACGGTGGACCATGGTTGAGGAGGATATAAGTGAATTGGATGGATTTGGGGTGGAGATGTTGGTGCATAGAAGGACTTTCTGAAACATCTGCGTGGTTTTAGGGTTAATTGTTTTGTTATTAGTAATTTAGTTTCCTCTGTGGGGAATTTTTTAAAAAGCTTTGAGAATTTTTTGCATTTCAGAGTGCTCAATAAAACGCTGTTTGATGATTAAAAAAATAGTGTAATGTAAATTCCAGTGATTGTAAATTCTGGAGATTAATAATTCTAGATTCTGAATTCAAAATTCTAATAATTCTAAATCCAACAGTTCTGAATTCTAAGTAATTCTAATTCCTGAAATTTTAAGTCCAAACTCTGAAATTCAGTCTTAAACTCTGATTTCTAAGTCCAACCTCTGAAATTCCAAACTCTGACAATTCTGAATTCTAATAATTCTAATTTCCATATTTTTAAGTCCAACAATTTTACGTTCCAAACTCTAACAATTTTAAATTCTGTGTATTTCTAATTTCTAAATTTTTAAGTCTAACCTCTGAATTGCAAATCCTGACAATTCTGAATTTTAATAATTCTGAATTTCTAAATTTCTAAGTCCAACAATTTTACGTTCTAAATTCTAGCAATTTTAAATTCTGAGTATTTCTAATTTCTAAATTTTGATATCTAATCATCTCGAACTCTGACAACTGTAATTTCTAAATTTTTAAGCCTAACCTTTGAAATTCCAAACTCTGACAACTCTGAATTCTAATAATTCTGAATTTCCAAATTTTTAAGTCCAATCTCTGAATTGAAAATCCTGACAATTCTGAATTTTAATAATTCTGAATTTCTAAATTTTTAAATCCTACTCTAGCAATTTTAAATTCTGAGTATTTCTAATTTCTAAATTTTGAAGTCTTGAACTCTGACAGCTCTAATTTCTAAATTTTCGAGTCTAACCTCCGAAATTCCAAACTCTGACAACTCTAATTCTACAGTTCTAAATCTGTAATTTTTTAAGTCCAACAACTCTAATCTCCAATCCCGAGCTCTGAATTCTGACAATTCTTCGATCCAATTTCCCCTGGAACGTCATCACTTTGGGAACATTTTTATCCTTCTCTCTCTCTCTCTCTCTCTCTCTCTCTCTCTCTCTCTCTCTCTCTCTTCTCTGTTATTGAGTTCTGTAACAACTGTTACTCCCAGTAAAATTCACCATTCGCTCGGATCGAAGTTCCACTCGGATTAAAATAATTCGAGAATCGCTAGGAGAATCGCCGATGTAAATCAAGACCATCACTGCTGGATCATCATTCCGAGTACTTTTAATTCCGATATTGAGTTTTATTTGCCCCGGCATTTTGTTTGTTATTCTGCATTTTAATTAAGGACGGGGCAAGCGAAATATTTACGCTGCCAGGAGTATGTGGTTTTCGATAAAAACTTCGTCATACACGCCCACTGGAAACATTCGCGGTTTTCATGCGTCTGTATGTGTGTGTGTGTGTGTGTGTATATTTTATTTCGACTAAAAATAACGCGTATAATCGGCTCAGTCTCGATTACCTATCGATTGAAATTTCAAATGAAGGAGCGATGCGTTTCTTGCATTTCTATTCCACTATTAGTTGTTCTCTCGTTAGTTTTTGCGATTTTCTGGAATTTTTTCACGAGTGTTTAATAGAATATTTTAAGTTTTAAGTTGCAAGGATGCAGACTTAATTTCCTGTGAAATTTAATGTCTTGTCGAAGTGTTGTTTAATCGAGTTCGGACGGAATATAATGATTTTCGTATATTGTAATACACTGTGGATTGCACTCTGACGTCTACTCTACTAGTGATGCATTTCTTCGAATTTTCATTCGTGCTGTTTAACATTTAATTCAATATAATTGATTTTACGATTCATAAACTCATTTTTAGACATTTTGGAACATTTTGGCACGTTTTTCTGAGAAACAGGAATATTACATTCAGGACTGCTAAATAATTACTTTCTACTAAAATAAATCCGTAATTTTTTTTACTTTTTATATATATTTTTTTTTTTTTTGAAGTTCAGAATATCATACATTTTAAAAAAATTATATTATGTTTCATTTTTATATTTATTTTATTATATTATAATTTATATTTAATTATTTTATTATATCATAATGTATATTAAATTATATTAATATATTACTTAATATATTATATATTTAATTATATTATACATTATAATATATATTAAATTATATTATATATTGATATATTACTTAATATTATTAAGTAATATATTGATATATTATATTACCTAATAATATTATTAATATATTATATGTTATATATTATATAATATATTATATATTACATTATACTATATATTAAATTATATTGTATATTATAATAAAATATAATTACACTATATTTTCATTTTCTAATTTCTAACATAATTTAACTTCTAATGTGACATATTTAATTGTTATCTCCTTCGAAATCTCGATGAAATTCACCCGTTCTTCGTTCACAAAACATTCAACTTGCTCGCTCGATCTGCGACAAATCCGATTCCGAGGACTCGGACGAACTCCCAAAGAACTCCCGGGCAGAGGAGTCTGTCTCCAACAGAGACGAAAAGGAAGGAAGAAAGAAAGAGAAACAATCGAACGGGAGAAAATTGCGCGTGGAAGAATCGCGGGGAGATAAAAACGGGAGCATCGGCTCGGTCGGTGTCTAGTCACCTAC